TTTTTTTTTTTTTTCCATAAATCCCGCGGTAAAATTTGCACTTAATTTACCGTTTCAATGGAAATGCTTTTTGCTAGGCAGTCTCTCTTAATTAACAGATTTCCTCGAGGCGAGGAAACATGTTTAAACATAGGACGGTTTAGGTAATTGCTATATTTAACGAGAACTTTCTCCTCGTTTGCCGATGTCCTTTTGCGCCGTTACTTTGTTTCGACTAATTGATTCGTTAATTCGTAACACGGATGTAACGGTACGATTAATAAAGTGTCGAAAGCGAGGTGAAAATTCGTTCGTTACATGTTTTTACACGTTATACGGATTTACGAAAGTGTTCGTTCGTTCGCATTTATCATCAGCGGGGAAATGATTGATTTATGGATTTATTTGTGAAATTTATTCGTGAAATTTTTGGAAATTTTTTTTTCATCGCTGCAAGTAAACGTTAGATCGGATCTGGATATTATATGTGTAAGATCGAAACGTTAAAAAACATCCATAAATATTTGAAAACGTGAAAACGTATCGTCCTCTAGTTTCAGATGATTTTTTTTTAAATCCAAATCCGATATAAAACGAAGATTAAATGGATTTTCGCTCGATCTATCAATTCACTTTGATTCTAAGCTTGTTTAATTTCACTTTCAAGATCAAAATTAAAAAACTCGTTCAACCGTTATCCCGATTTAATCTAATCTGAACGATCTAATAAATCTTTACAACTTTAACGACGCGATATTTAAAAAATCATCGAGATCGAAGGAAGATTCAACGTTTTTTCGATGATAAATAATTTTATACTTGAATAATTTTTACGTATATTTATATAAAAAATAATACAAAAAAAAATGACGCATTAAACAATTGAATTTTAATATACGATCAATCATTACGTCGATTCCTACGTAAATGCGCGGTACGTATTTAATAATGCGTATATATACGCACGCGATACGTATTTAATAACCGTACGTATATATACACACGCGATACGTATTTAATAACCGTACGAATGTATACAAACGCGGTACGTATTTAATAACCGTACGAATGTATACAAACGCGGTACGGGAACGTTCGTTTTCCTTGGGCGCGACTTCGATACGCGTATAAAAACAAAACAAAGTTTCGGGATACGGTCGTCCTCCAAATTTAGTCGTAGTATATCCGCCGTCCCGTCAACATTCGTCGTAATATTTCTACGCGTCGCGAAATTTTCTTTCCGTTTTTAACGCTCATCGTGCTTTTTTTCGATCCTGCATTCGTTTTCAACCACCATCTACACCCACGCGGTTCAACTCGTGCTTTCGCTGTATTCCTGTTGGTGAAGATTAACCCGTTTCGAGAAAGGGAACATTTTTTAAGTATTAATTCTAGTATTAATTAGTATTAATTAGTGTTTAAGAATGGAAATTACTCGGATTACTCGAAGAACTCGTGGCGTGTTGGGGGGTAATTTTTTAATTTCCTTTTTTTTATCGGTATCTTATTATCGCCTCGGTATCTCTATCGTTAGGGCTATGCTGTGTTATACACGCGTATCGTTCTTCTATCCAACGCGTGTACGAAGTATTACGGGTCGAGATAGCCGTGTAGTAAAATATTACATCGTGTTCACGGTCGATGGTGTTTAACGTTGATGGTGTATAACGAGCGCAAAACCGTGTGAAGGATTTTCTAGTAAGCCGTAGGACAATTCTGCGTTCCCCAGGATTCGTGTTCTAGTATATTCCTCGAGTTAGCGATAGTTTCGTCTTCTTTACGCGTAACGAAAGATTCCGTTTCGCTTAAAAACGATTCTCTCGGTTTGTAGGGTGTAGGTGAAGAATGTTATCGCGTCGAAGTGGTAACATTACAATCTTTTAGCTGTAGCGATTCGAGAGAGGGCAGAAGAAGGGCAGAAGAGGCGACCATGTGGATTTTTAACAATTCGTTTGTTATATACATGCGACTTTTAGTTATTATAGTTTAGTTATTATAGTTTAGAAATTAAGCCGAATTTCGATTAGATTAGATTAGCTTAGATTAAGTTAGATGATCCAGAGAAGAATGAAGATTTTTTTTAATTCCAATGTTAAACACCATCGACCATGAACACGATGTAATATTTTAATACACGGCGTATTTATTCGCGATCTCGTGGATTTTTAACAATTTTTTTTTTTATCTACGCGCGACTTTTAGTTATTGTAATTTAGAAATTAAGTCGAATTTCGATTAGATTCGATTAGATTAAATTAGTTTAAATCAAGTTAGATGATCCAGAAAAGAATAAAGAATTTTTTTTTTAATTTTAGCGAACCTGTTGGCGATCACGTGGATTTTTAACAAATTTTATATAAGTGCGACTTTTAGTTATTGTAATTTAGAAATTAAGTCGTATTTCGATTAGATTAGATTAGTTTCGATCAAGTTCGATGATCCAGTGAAGAATGAAGAATTTTTTTTTAATTTTGGCGGACGTATTGGCGACCACATGAATTTTTAATAATTTTTATATATG